GTTATGATCATAATGTAAATACTATAAACATATATATATATGGCATAAATAAATATATACTTAATATCGATATATTAATCAAAATAACAAAAATAATAGATTTTTCACAGCTATTTTCTCACGCACGCGCTAATGCATCATACTTTATATACTGTACACCCGTCTTTGTTTACAATTGAAAGGCTAGCCACCGCCGCCAAGCGGTCACTTTGAGAACTAATACGACTCGTTCCACTAAGCCCGCAAATTTTGAAATACATCGCTGACGATTTGAAAGTTTTTCCTGCGGATCTTTTTATTTTTCTTACAGATTTTTTCTCCGTTGTATACGAAATCCGTTGATGGGGGTCCTTAGATGGGAGGTTTGTATATATATATATATATATATATATATATATATATATATATATATATATATACCTAATTTAGGATATTACACCAAAAACATTTAAAAACGCTACAAAAATGCAATCATGATTCGATACGTATTAACTTATCTCATTAGGCGGTTTGTAAATGACTGGTGAGTAGACAATTTATTGAGATTTAAAAACAATATACACCCTCTTTTCCCGAGAAAAGGAAGAAAAAGAAAAAGAGTAAGAAAGAAAAGGGAGGAGATAACAGAAGGATTTGTTTTTATTCAAATCAACCAATCGGAATGGCATACGCTAAGATCAAAGTAAGGGGAAAAACGAAAGTTAAGAAGCTGTTATACATAAGAGGTCATGATCCACAGATTTAGAATCGCAGACGACATCAAGATATCACATTCGATACGGATGTAACTTTGCACAATGTTATATACATTAGATATATGTCATTTCCTATGAGAGACGAAACGTAATTTAACAAGATACTCGACAAACTATATACCCTTTGAGTTAAAAAGTTAAAATTTCACATTTTTATAGTTGGTAAATAATATGACTGGGCTCATTAGCCTTGGTTGACAACCAGTCTGCAAGAAAGAAAGAAAGAAAGAAAGAAAGAAAGAAAGAAAGAAAGAAAGGCCGAATAAGAAAGAAAGAAAGAAAGAAAGAAAGAAAGACCGAAAAAGAAAGAAAGAAAGACCGAAAAAGAAAGTAAAAAAGAAAGAAAGAAAAAGAAAGTAAAAAAAAGAAAGAAAGACGATAAAAGAAGCAAGACAAATATAAAAAGGAAAAAAAACTTGTCTAAGTAAAAGAAAGAAAAGACAAGAAAGAAAAGGAAAGCAACGAAAGGGAAACGAAAAATAAAAATATAAACAGGGAAATCAAAAAAAAGACAAAAAAAAAAGAAATAAGAGCCGACAACGCGTGAAGACGACAAAGGTTGGGGGATTAAAAAAAAAAGTTTCAAAATGGCGAGCTTGTTTGATTGAAGGGAAACCTCTGATTCTATGCACTAGGACAGCCGGTTAGTGCATGGAAACGAACCAAGACTGGGAAAAAGCTCCTCGGGTAAAGTGCGGGGTGTGGGGGCGAGCGGATGGGGCGTGGCTAATGGCCCATAGATTAATTTTACGCCTTTATCTTTACTTTGCGAGTGCTTGTCGACAAGGTGTGAAAAAGTGGAACGAAGTTCCAAAAGGGTAAAGAAAATAGGGTAAAAATCCCTGACCGACAACGAATGAAGCAGAGGAAAAGACGAAATTGAAAAACGAAAGAGTGAAAAGAAAAACGAAAATTAAAAAAAGATAGAAAAAAAGCGAGAGACTGAAAAAGACGAAATAGAAAAACGAATGTATAAAAGGAAACACAAAAAAAATTAGGAAATAGCGAGAGACTGAAGAAGACGAAATGGAAAAAACGAAAGAGTAAAAAGAAGGAAAAAAAAGCTAGTAAATAGCGAGAGACTGAAAAAGATGAAATAGAAAAACGAAAGACTAAAAAGAAAAACGGAAAAAAAAGAAGTTAGAAAAAAGGCAGTAGACTAAAAAAGACGAAATGGAAAAACGAAAGAGAGAACAAAATAAATGCAAAAATAAAGATTAGGAAATATAAAAGAGAAAGAAAAAGACGAAGTGGAAAAAAGGAAAAAGTGAGAATGATTTAAATGGAAATTCAAGACAGAACGAAACTATGATAAAAAAAAAAACGGAATAGAAAATACGAAAAAGCTTTTTACAAAACGAAATAGAAAATATAGCGAAAATGACAAGAGAAGGAAAAGGACGAAATGGAGAAAATGAAATAGTAAAAAAAAAATAGAAAAATAAACATAGCGACAAAAACGGAAGAAAGAATAATACGAAATAAAGAAAATGAAAGAGAGTGAAAAAAAAAACGAAATAGAAAATTAAAGATAAAATGATAAGAAAAAGAACAAAACTAAATGGTGGGATAAAAGGCGAAAAAAATAAATTGGAAATATAAAGACAGAGAAAAAGTCAAAAGAACAAGAAAAGGAAAAAGAGGAAATGGAGAAAACGAAAGAGTGAAGACAAACGAAACAAATATATAGACGAGAGAAAGATGAAGTCAAGAAACACGAAACAGAAAACAGAATAATGCATTAAAACATTAAAAATACATTAAATACATTGCATATATTAAATTCATTAAAACATTAATACACTAAAAACATTAAAATACTTTAAATACATTAAAACATTAAATACATTACATATATTAAAATCATTAAAACATAAAATATACATTAAATACATTAAAAATTAAAAATACATTACATATATAAATTCATTAAAAACATTAAAAATGCATTACATATATTAAATACACCAAAAACATTAAAAATAAATTAAATACATTAGAAACATTACAAATATATTAAATACATTACATATATTAAATTCATTAAAATGCATTTAAAATGTATTGAATAAATTAAAACATTAAAAATACATTACATATAATAGATTCATTAAAAATTAATTTAAAATGCATTAAATACATTAAACCATTAAAAATACATTATATATTAGATTCATTAAAAATGCATTAAATACATTAAAACATTAAAAATTCATTACATATATTAGATTCATTAAAATGCATTAAAATGCATTAAATACATTAAAACATTAAAAATACATTACATATATTAGATTCATTAAAAATGCATTAAAAATGCATTAAAACATTAAAAATACATTATATATATTATATTCATTAAGAATATTAAATTACATTAAAACATTTAAAATACATTAAATACATTGAAAACTTTAAAAACAAAGTAATACATTAAAACATTTATTCATTTTGAAAACTTATTAATCGCTCGATTTATATTTTATGTATGTTGTTTTTTTTCAATGAAATATTGAAATCTAACTCCAGATAAGCACGAAGGAATTGTTTTCTTTTTTCATTTCCATTTTTTCTTTTAGGTGCGAAGGTCCTACTTTTATTTGATCTGTGACGAAGGAGATCTAAAGTAAAATTCTTTACGAAAGAAAATCAAAAGTTTCGATTTCAAATCTGCATGCAGAAATACGCTTTTCTCTCCGACCGAAAATGATCCAGTTTCATTTTTAATTCTTTCCCTCCAAAACAAGGCAATAAAGCCACTAAGATGCAACCGAGAGGTTACTAGAGTGAAAGATACAAAGAGGAAACGAAAAGAACAGGTCTCAAAGAGACAGATTATGATGACCATTGACATTGCATTTAAAATTTTGAAGATCATAATTGACAGGAAATTAGGAAGCCGAAAGTGCGTTTCATAAGGGGAAAGTGCGAGAGAATAAACTATTACTATAGAACTTACGGTTACAACTGACAAATTCAACAGGGAAATTATGAGACCTAGTTGCCAATCTAGTACTGCGCTTAAATTCGTGAAGTCGTGGGACAAAAGAGGAAAACGATATTTATTTTGAAAAATACAAAAATGTGGCACAAAGCCAAGAAGGGTGACTGGCTTATCTTAAATTTAGCGAGCCACGATTACTGGCCCAAACATACCACAGTATTCCTTACACCAAAATAACACATTCGTGCTTACCATTCTTACTACAGCCACCATAATACCACATAGTCTCTATGAAGTCGTAACTAGTTTTCATATGCACAATTTGTCTGGGGTGGGGGATAAATATAACAACTTTTAAAAATGAAACCCCAATGAATATTTGCAATCGTTACAAATTTATATACAAGAATCTAAACAAACTAGTGTTAATAATAACCCCCGACTCTCCCTAATCGTGACCGAAATATATCAGTTAACTGGACGAAATTAATGCGGGGCTAGGTAATTAAAAACAATCAATCGACCAAGCACTCACTCAAACACACACTCATCCAGACACAAAAAATACTTAAGAGGACAGCTCATCAGAACAATTACCGCGAAAATATTTATAGAAATGCACGGGAAAGGTACGCTGCAACGGCGGGAAAGCGACTGAATCCGAGATGCCAGGTCAGGACCAATAACGTTGCAGATTCTTCTTTGTATTTTGTCAAAAATCTCTACATACGTAGCAGACAAGATGTAGCAGCAATATTCGATACACGGGTGAACAGTAGACTTATAAATGTGTAAGATATATTCTGTCGAGAAAAATTGTCTAGCACAAGATAATAAACCGACTTTCTTGGCAGCAGATTTACCAGCTGTTTCAATATAATCGTTACAGACGCATGGATTTTTTCTCGTGGAGGTTAGCATCAGCCATGCTGTTGAAAGGCAAAAAAAATGATTAATAAAGAGGAACTTAATTTTGGAAACGTTAAAATTGACAAACTATGTTTTGCCTTGTTTAGGGGCCAGCTCGTGAATTTTCTGGCTATAGACCAGGGGTGGCCAAACTTGCTTAATGTAAGAACCACACACACACACACACACACATATATATATATATATATATATATATATATATATATATATATATATATATAGGGTGACCCAAAAAACGGGAACTTTTTAACAATCCAATAAAACCAAGAGTGATGGAAGAAAAATATTTCATTCATAGTAACTGAAACCTTAAAACATGCCATTTAAGAAACAATGATGGAATTTTCATTTTTTAAAAATTACGTCCTGTAGATGGCGTCCTCCAGTACGAATGCATTCTTGAAATCTGCTGTTGAGATTCCTCATTGACTGCTGCGACATCTCAGCTGGGATACTGTGAATTTCATCTTGAATTCTAAATGGCGAAATGTTTACTTGTTCAAGGTCACCGTCTCGCAGTGTTGCCACTTGCTCATGTCTGGCAATACGAACTTCAAAAATTCCTGTTTTTTTGGGTCACCCTCTATATTCATATATTTGAGAGCCGCAAAATTAACACATACGTTTTTGTTTCATACACATCAACATTAATGTTACGTTTTAATCCAATGGGATCTCAATCCCTACACTGTAAATATTATAAAGGTTGATTTTTTTTTTAATTACGTTTATTATTAACTGTGATGAAAACGGGAGTTCAGCCAACATATTTCCACGAGCCGCATATTAAAAATCAAAGAGCCGCATGTGGCTCGTGAGCCGCGGTTTCACCATCTCTGGTATAAACCGTAAAAATGATCGTTACAAAATATTTTTTAGCTGCCTTTTCTTTATCATCTGTGAATAGACATAATTTCTCTCAACTTGGTATCTATGCTGCTGACGCAACCATTTTCATACTCCTGACATTAAATAACCTGCAAAAGATTAATAAGCCGTAAAAAGAATCATTCATTTTTTCTTAGAACTTCCTTGTTACTTACATGCTCTGTTTATGGTATTCTCAGCATCCTTCTGTAGAACCCTATCTCTGTGGCCTCAAATCTTCATCTATGATGAAATTGTTCAGCATTCACTGCTATATGGGAGGGCTAATAATAAATAGTATTTGAGCGCTTTTTTCTTTGTTTCTAAATAAATTTTCCTGTTGCTTAATACTTTGTTTAGATTTTGGAAGGCATCTTTTGCTTTTATAACGCGCCTTCGGATTTAGGTGCAACATAATTACATCATGTGTTGAAATATTTTGTGTGCAGTTTGAACATCCCCCTCTCCCCTAATTATTAATTTCCTTAATTAATACTTTTCTTAATTACTTGAAGAATGTTTTGTTTTTTTTTTGTTTTGTTTTTTTGGGTTTTTTTTTTTCAAAAGAAAGTGGATCGATTTCGTGGCCGGCTCATTCGTCAGATCTTACGTCTCCAGATCTTACGTCTCCAGATCTTTTTATCTGGAGAGTAGAGCTCATGAAAGATCAGTGTTTATCGTGAAATGACACGTACCATTCAAAAATTGAAGGTTCAGACCAGTGTAAATTTTTTATACGTGTACCACCCTGTGCCTGCTAAACTACAACTCTGCATTGGTCATATGGGGGGGGGATACACTTAGAAGATTACGAATAAAAAAACTTCTTACAGTTCCTTAATGTTTTCTCCACTGTATTCAAAATGGAGCCTAATGTGGACGTGGTAATTTTTTCTATGGCGAATGGAATTCAAATTGAATAAGATATATTGAAAAGAAATCTTATCTATTATATTTTACATTACTTGATCATTAAAACGGTTATTACTTTATATTATTAAAAACTAGCAGTAGAGCCCGGCGTTGCCCGGGAATGTAACAGGAAGAGATAGATCAAGTATTGACCATCATAAAGACTGAAAAATAAAATTGACAAAGATTATTGTGTAAGGTTGACGGACACGCATGTCTTAATTAGTTTTTTTTTTAAAGCATTCTGAATGTAAAAATAAAGAAAAAAGTGTGCAAGACAATAAGAAACACTACCTGCCAAAAAGTGAAGTTTTGTTGAAATCGGTTGAAAAATGTAGGAAATCCGATCCCATATATAAACGAACATACACACACACACAAACAACCAACCTGGGTTTTATAAGTATAACTCGATATGAGTTGTCCCCCTTTCATTCTCGTGATGCTTCTTAATCGTGTTTTCAAATTGATTTCGTGCAAAAACAATTGTGTTTTTCTAATTTTTGGTGCTGTTAGAACCACCGCAAGGTAATTTTATGTAGTCCTGTGAAGTTTTGTTGAAATCGGTTGAAAAATGTAGGAAATCCGATCCAATATATAAACGTACAGACACACACACACACACACACAATCTGCGTTTTATAATAAGTAAGATTATTGTATTTTTACATTTTACATTTCTTGATCATTAAAACGGTTATTATTTTATAATATTAAATATTATTGTAATTTTTTATATTTTACATTTCTTGATTATCAAAACGGATTATTTTATAATGCAAATGTATCCAAAGAAAGCAGGCCTGCATGAATAGTTTTAATTTCTGTCGCCCTTATAGTCTACATGTCTGAGCAGCTTCTTCCCACGTACTGCTGCTTTGTGGAACCGACTCCCAAGTGGATGCTTCCCCGATCATTACGTTCTTAATCTGTTCATGTTTAGGGCTAACCGCTATCTTCCCATCATATTCACATAAACCATGCCTATTACTCTGTAACCCTCTACCTTGGGTGGCTCTTGGCTCTTGTACAGAGTAAACATCATTGTAAAACACACATGACTAAATTGCAAGTCTAGAATTCAGGAGGACACTTTTTATTACGTCATTTTCTGGAGTATTTGCTTGCAAATAGAACTGGAGGAAAAATCCAAAGACATTGCTATCTGGATGCAGATTTCTAAAAGAGAAAAGAGACGAAAAATGGTAAGAACTCTCAGTAGCTCCTTGCGTCTTAGCAAAATTATCGCCTTGTTTGGGATGAATTGATTAAATAAAAAATTGATTTAATTTCTACGAAGATTTATTGCATACAGATGTCAATAATTTTAATTTCAAAAGTATAATTTTTTTAAAAAAATTTTAAAATTAAATAAAGTTTTATAAAATAGATAAAATTGAATAAAAGCACTATTTTTTTTAGAAATATTGCTATATGCAACCGTAAGTTCTATGCTAATAGTTTCTTCTCTCGCACTTCTCGCTTGTGGCACTTTCTTCAGGTTTCTTGCTTTCCAGTCAACTTTGAACTTCAAAAATTTAAATGCAATTTCAAACGTTATCTTCTGTCTTCTTAATTCATTTATGGTTCTATTTTCTTAATAGTGTTTTTTTTATTCTTTCATATTAAGTATCCTCCCTTTGCATCTTAGTGGCTTTATTGCCTTGTTTGATATGAAATGATTTTAAAAAAATCCTTTCTAAAGGCTATACTGACTCAGTTTATTTAACTACTTTTGAACAAAATGTAAATGAATTTTCAAAACATATATTGCCAGTTCTAAACAATGTACACAAATTCATTTTTCAAGCAGGTGGCCACAAAATAAAAACTTGTGGTGTGTTATGCTAAATCAAATTTTAAAAATCATGAATGCGGGTGTGTCAAAGATTAGGTTTAAAGGATTTTATATTATTTATCGGATCCTCTCATAAAATAAACATATTTTAGATCTATTATCCGACTGAAATACCTTCTTTTTTTGCGTGGGGGGGGGATTTCATTTTGAATACCATTTTTTTTCTTTTCTTTTGTAAGTATTTTCGGAAATGAGGCCTTTACGTTTTTCCATAAAGCTTATGTCAAAATTTTAGAAGTAGATATTTGGGGAAAAATAAAAAAAAATAAAGAAAAGTAAATATAAAATGAAATTTTCAAATTTATTTTGGAAATGAATGATAGTAATGATTTTAGACAAACGATACAGCACAACTTAATAGTATCGGATTAATAATAGAAGACAAGAGGATTGATTTGTATTTTTTAAGGTTTATCAACACTTTTTTTTAGAGCCGAAACATAATTTGAATAGCCAGAACAATTTTTTCATTTTTTAATTAGCGAATATTATATTACAATTTAAAAAAAATTCGATGAGTTTTCCAGATACAAGCCCTACTAATTAACCCGTAGCTGGAGGAAGAGGAGATGTTTATTGTATTTTTTCTTTTACATATACATACATTATATATATATATATATATATATATATATATATATATAAAGAAAGAATCAATGTAATAAATTTAGAATCTAACATTAAATATATATATATATATATATATATATATATATATATATATATATATATATATATATATATATATATAAAGAATTAATGGAATAAATTTAGAATTTGACATTATTTTGTATTTCTTAAAACGTTATATTTAGTGGATAAACGTGTTTGAGTAGACGTCTATTTTTTATTTATTTATTTATTTTTATTTTTTATTTTTTTGTAAACAGTGCATTCGAGAGTCTTAATAAGGAAAATCAGCCTGATTGGAGAAACGGCTGTCTACTAAAAATATAAATAGACAGACATAGATACATTTTAAATGCTAGACAGGTAGACATATAGATATGAACAGATTTGTATAGATAGATAGATAGATAGATAGATAGATAGATAGATAGATAGATGCCCTTACAACAACATTATTCAGTAATACACTATCTTAAGTGGTTCTCGGGCTTTTATTGGGTGAAAATCATTAATTCTATTCTCATGGGAGAAAGAATTCTGCCTTTTAAATGATTATTATTTTTTATCCAAAGAAAGCTATGACGAATCATGTGTCACAAAACTGCCATTGTATTTGTTCTATGTTCAAGAGTTTATCGATATGTTTATCCAAATATGGTCTCATGTAAGAAATACATTTATTTTTCAGACCATAAAAATGAGATATAACTAAAGAAAATCGACACGAAAACACTAAAACCTAAAAAAAAAATTTTTAAAGATAACAGCCGAGCTCTCTTACATCCTAATAAGACATTTCGTTGCTATAGTAACACAAGGTCGCCCTGTCATTGTCTAAATCAGGGGTCGGCAATCTACAGCACGCGTGCCACACGTGCCAAGCAATTTCCAAGGGCTCTGTCTACCCAATTTCAGTCACAAGGCTTGGGTCAACTCGTGGTATGGTTTTCAGACACTTTCCCGTGGTACCGCACGCTGAGATCACCTCCTCCAGATCGATGACAAGTAACCTTCCTGAGAAATCGACCTTGGTGAGATTCGAACCCGGGTCAGAAAGCGAATGTTCCAACCACTCCGCCACGTGCACATTAAGATGTGGTAAGGAATGCTTAAATGATCAGTGTCCATCTCTTCATATCTGTGCTTGTATATGCGCAAAGTATAGTCTAGGACAGGGGTCGGCAATCTAAGGGCACGCGTGCCACACGTGGCACGCCAAGGAGTTTCCAATGGCACGCAGCCGCAAATGACATCACAAAGCCCGAACCAATAACTACTACAACGCAAAGAAGATATTTAGCTGTTTCAAAACTGCTCACTCATTGGACTCTCCATTAAGAATAAAACTTTAAAAAAAACTTTTAAAAACAGTTTATTTCTATTAATGTCGTTTACATATCTCTATCTATAAAAGGCTGTGTGTGTGTGTGTGTGTGTGTGTGTGTGTGTGTGTGTGTTTTTCGACGGATTTGCACCAAAATTTACATGCACATGCTCCAGGTTAGCGAAATGGCCAAGACCGACTTTGCATTTCCCAACTTCCATCGATAGTGGAAATAATCGATTTTTTTCCTACTTCTACGGCAGTTTTCATGTAGTTTGCGGCCATTTCTACTGGCCAGAGTGAGAGCCTATAGCTGGCTGCCACGAATAGGAAGGAAGATTCTATTGGCCAGCGTGAGAGCCAACAGCTGACTGACACGAATGTTAACTAGCATGCTAGCATGCAAAAAAAATCTATAGCTGTATTCGTCACAAGTGGGAAAAATTTAAATCTGCATGGCACTTTACTCCAATTGGCTCATTCGCTTGCTTAAACTCAACGTTGATTCTGATTCCACAGAACTAGGTTGGGTGTGAAAAAGTATTTGTTATTAACATTCTTTTTTCATTCGTTTTTTTCCAGTTACAAGTCCTTTTTTAAAGCTGATCGTTTTGTGTTCATTTTGTTTAGTTCTTTTTTCGTAACAGATTTAATGTTTAGTATAGAGCTTAGAAAAAATTTGCAGTGTGAGATAGGCAAGAAATAAGGCATGTAGCAACATCGGCACGGCGAAGGGCACTCCTTTAAAGGCAAAGAAGGGCAAAAATATTTTAAGTCAAGTGATAGCGATTGCTGTATGAGTCGTACGATTTTTGAATCAAGCACGGGCAACGCCGGGCCATGCTGCTAGTTATTGCATATATTACGCTATAAAGTATATTGTAGAACGGGTATAATGACCTTGACTCGAATAAAAATACGTATACTGTTGGCACACTGAATGATTTTAAAACCCCATAGTCAGCAAAAGGTTGCCGACCCCCTGAAAAGTACCGTGGGTGATACACCCACGAGCGAATGGTCCGAAACCAGATAGGTCGACGACGTCGTATCATGACCCAGGCTTATGTTTGTCCGAACCATTTTACTAAGCCCTAAGAGTCCATTATTTTCTGTCGCGGGGGTGGGGGGTAGTTTCTTCGACGCGACACCCGAGGTGGATTTGTTTTTGAAGTTACCGTCTTCTAGCCGTTACCTAAAGACACATGACCAACAAGGCAGCAGATGGTTTACATCCAGAGTTTCGCTACATGGGCACAGTTTCTTATTACCACCCACACCCACAAAAACCAAACACACAAACACACACAAACACACAGACTACATAAATGTTTTTATAAACATGTCTTTCACTAATTTCTAACATTAATTGCACGCTAATAAAAATGGCAAACAATCAATTGACAGCTGTAAAATCAGACATTGAGAGCTACTTTTCATACAACCTTACTATTTATCTATATAGTATTTGAACGTAAGTAAATATAACGAACTCGACTGGAATTCGATCGCAGCTCTCCAATTCCTTAACCCAAGCTGCTACTCTTTAGAAACACTTCTATATGGTATTTTAGTCGAAGAGATGGCATCTCAAAGTTAGCGAAACAAAGATTGCGCTAGGTCCAAAATATACTATTTTTTCTATTATTATCGACATAGTCACAGACTCTTAAAGGACAAAAGAATTTAGATAGATAGATAGATAGATAGATAGATAGATAGATAGATAGATAGATAGATTATTTACATTATTCGGACTATTGCCCTCATTTTTGTCGCCATATTTATTACAACGTTTCTTACATCTTTGTCGTCATATTTATTACAACGTTACTTTGTCGCCATATTTATTACAACGTAACGCCCTTATCCACTGTGCCATGTGTCCTCAAGGACACATGACACAGTGGATAAAGGCGTTGGTTAGATCCAGTGACAGGACCCAAAGAGTGTAAGTTCAATACCTGGTTAAGGAGGAGGAGAACTTGGAGAGGGGAATTAACAAGAGATAATTGATAACTGACATCCATTAGACAGAGCACGTGGAACAAGAACAGTCTACCCCAGTGAGCGAAATAAAGGGTTCAGTTCGACATTCCAATCACCTGAAGAAGGCCGGAGCGTACAACGGCCGAAACGTTGTAATAAATATGGCGACAAAGATGAGGACAATAGTCCGAATAATGTAAATAGTGTACATAATACCTCATCTCAGAAATATAGATAGATAGATAGATAGATAGATAGATGGTCAGCAACCTTTTGCTAACTATGTCCGGACTTAGGGTTTTAAAATCATTGTGCCAATTTTTATACAAGTCAAGGTCAATATACCTATCCAATATATTTTATTTAGTAATAAAAGTTTAGATAATCTAATTTGAATGAAACAGTATTTACATTTTTTAGCAAAAATAAAATGTAGAAAATAAGAAAAGCATAACTTAACTACGGTGACTCGTTCGTCGGGTGTTGATTGATGTTATTGACAACTGAGGCCAGGAGAAATCATCAGATGGATGAACAGATGTGACAAATTTTACTTATTTAAGTACCCAGTAATTTTTACAAATTAACAATTATTTTAAGCAATCTAATATTATATTAATTATTTAAACAACTCTTAAAACATGTGATTTTTTAATGTCATGTATGAGCACACGTATCTATAAAAAAAAAAAAGGCATGTTTATACAGATCTACAATCAATGTAAAATTTTTCTTTTTAAATACTGGTCATTTGCAGATTGTAATCAGTTTTTAAATTTATGATTAGAAAAAATAGTTTTACTTAATAACAGAATATTGAAATTAAATTTTAAAGATTTAACAACTTTATAAATTATTGTTTATTAAAACTGTAAAAAAAGAAAACAATTCATGTAAAAATTCATTTTTTATCGGAAATTATTTCTTTTGCGTCAGACAATATTATCCTTAACATATATTATTCATAAAACAATAGAAAGCTTTTCTAATTTAATAATGTTTTAATGGTTTTTGTATTTTACAATTCAGATCTCATTTTCCGTCAATGGTCGTTCGATTTTAAGTTGTTTGTTTTTATTATCCTTGCTTTATTTTTTTTCTTTTATTTGTCTTTAATTTTTTTTTATTATGCTTTATTCTTTATTAATTTGTTTTATTTTTTGATCATTTTTTTAATTATATTTTTAAACTCCTCTTAGACGAAAACATTGCGTGGACTTTAATGAAGTTTCATGTTTACTGTTCTCCACCCATTTTTCTTTTAATAAAAGACGTGTGCTCGGTGGTGGTACAAAAAACAGACAGAGGTACAGATAGAATCTTTTTTTTATATATATATAGAGCAGCCATACCCAGCTAGACGATCAGAAAAAAGCGTTCAATTATAATTGAGCAAAAACAGCATCATGTTTAGATGTAACAGATGTCTATCTTCTTCAATTATTTGAAAGTACTTTCATTAAAAAAACACTTTGAATTAATACAGTTACTGATATAACAGAAGTAGTCTGTATTTATTCAATCGAAATTAGCCGAGGACATGAAGGGGTAAAACAGGCAACATGAAGACCCATTTCAGACCACAGTCATTTTGGAGTTTTTGAAATTCATTTTGTCAATATGCTACCACAGATGTAAAAGAGGTTACATTTATAAAGCAATTGTTAGATTTGATGAAAATTGGTTGAAAGATCTACGAAAAATAATAAAGAAATCAGTAAAAATCGCCATTTTTCGCTATTTACGCGGGTTTTCACTACGCGGTGGACACAATTATCAAGTTAAATGACTGTCAAACAATAAACTTATTGTTGGCTACAACTAAGTGAAGTTTGTATTAGATTGCTTGAAAATTGAGGGCGTTTTTAATTTAAAATTTGTGTTGAAATCGATTTTTCGTTTTTCGCGGTTTATCGCTAAATGCTGTGGCGTAGGGGAAAATGAGGTATTGTTGTTCTCGTCATGATGTAAGTAACCTACTTAACGAGTTTGAATGAAATCGGAAGAAAAAAGTTGAATTTATCAATATTTGATCGGCTTTATCGATTACTGATTTTTTAAAATTGCCGACTTTTTTACGCTAAGGCCCTATCTTTTACATTGTAAAAAGTAAGTGCCAAGTTTGGTCAAAATCAGTTGGATGGAACTCGAGTTAAAAAGTATCACGTAGACAGACGGACGGACACATGCATCCTCTGTTTTTTATATATAGATTAAAACATCTAAATATCTTCTTTGCGTTGTAGTAATTATTGGTTCGGATTTTGAGATGTCATTAGCGGCTGCGTCCCATTGTAAATTGCTTGGCGTGCCACGTGCGGCACTCGTGCCATATGTTGCCGACCCACTATAACATCGTTAAATATTTGAGCTTAACAACTTTAACAACATATTGCAAAAAAAAAATCATCAATATGAATGCTGGTCGTTATTTCAAAAGTAAGGATGTAGAAATGAAGATTTTGAAATTAACAACTTTTTCCATTTCACTGAAATAGATGTCTAACACACATATCTTCTTTGTTTCATTTTCTTACTGAAACCAATTAGTGTTTTTGATGCCTTTCGTCTTCACACGCGATCGAAACTGAACAGTCCATTATTTATGCGGTATTGGCAGGGCGTAACGATCGTGCAAACTAATAAAAGGAGTAACAAGCACAGTTATAATAGCATTATAGAATAACTAATTTTGAATTTTACGGAAATTTATAAAAAATTATAAAGCTCCGTATATTTCAAAACTAGTTATTCCAAAATTCGCTTGAGGATGAAACAGAGCTAGTTACTTTAATTTTATTTAATTTTTATAATTAAATTGAAGTTTTTAGCTTCTGTTTTCGAAACATGTGAATTCTTATGTAGTAATGAAATCATGTTTAAAAAAAAATTAAATATTATATATATATATATATATATATATATATATATATATATATATGTCTTCGCTTATAAATTAAGTAAATTTCTTCGAAAGTTTATTCCTAACATCGCTTGACAGTTGTACGAGACTATGAATCTTAAGTTTAATTTTTATAATTAAATTTGTAAATTTAGTTTCAGTTTTGAAACATGGAAATGTTTTGTGTCGCGATGGAATCATATTCTTAAAAAGAAAATAATATATATATATATATATATATATATATATATTATAGATTTATACATGTGGACAAAAACAATTACCCACTAAAAGAGATACATTCTTGTTTCGATACCTTATTTGCATCTTGACTGGTGAGAAATAAAAATAGTTATGGACAATCCTATTCAAAAACAAGCCGCCTATAGTACGTCACTTCCTTTAAAAAATATATAAGGAGATACATCTTAAGAGGAATCACAGAGTTTCCTCTTAAGCTGTATCTTACAGAGAGTTTCATGTTAAGGTATATATATATATATATATATATATATATATATATATTTATGACAGTTAGATTTAAGTTAGGAATATCCGAACAGTGACGTTCCATATCACGTGACGTCCGCGTCTCGCGAAGGACGCTACTTGCTAACAAACAGTAATTTTAATCTATTTGTAACAAACAGTTATTTCTGATGAAAAATTGAGGACAATTTGAAATATCAAATATATATATAAATAAATAAATACTTTCATAAAATAAAACATTATTATTTTTTAATTTGAAACTTTATATATATATATATATATATATATATATATATATATATATATATATATAATATGAACACAACTGAACAACCAATGCATCTAACAGAAGGAAGAAAAATTGATTAAATCTCTACAGAAGTAATTAACGATTTAATTATTTTCATCTATAAATTTTAACTCGGAGTTCAAATTTACGCCATTTTATTTTATGGAAATAACCTTAGGAAAATATTTTCCGAACAGAAAAGACCGCCAAATTATACAAATAAAGTCATTTTAGGTCATTAAATAGTCACAATTTTTGCAATATAACCGATTGAAATCCATCTGAGTTAAATGCCTTAATAGTTACATTTATTTTGTATCACAATCAGTCATTCACGGAACCTCAGTATGGGATAATGGCTAGCAAGGAAAGTCAAGTTGAATTTTTCTACCGAGTTGACTCCTCACTGAGTTCCCCATCTAAAATTCAACGTTAAATAATCCAATAAGGAATGACAAGTCGTTAATTCAATCGATCAATAAATTTGCTGGGTTAATAGCGGATTAGTCTGGTTGTTCATTAGTACTGAATAATGAATTCGATCCTCACCGAGTGTCACATCCAAAATTCAACATCAATTAAATGAACTTTTACCTAATGGTTTCTACATTAACTTGAACTAGAAAGAAAGAAAGAAAGACGAGATAAGAATAAAAGAAAGAAAGAAAAAAAGACGAGATAAGATATAAAGAAGGAAAGAAAGAAAGAGACGAGATAAGAATGAAAGAAAGAAAGAAAGATGAGATAAGAATAAAAGAAAGAAAGAAAGAAAGATGAGATAAGAATAAAAGAAAGAAAGGCGAAATTAGAATAAAAGAAGGAAAACAAGCAAGAAAGAAAAAGTGATAAGAATAAAAGAAAGAAAATAAAAAAGAAAAATAAAAGAAAGAAAAACGAGAAGAATAAAAGAAGAATAAAAGAAGAAAAACAAGAAAATAAACAAACAAACAATGAAAAAGAAGGAAAAAGGACAATTAAGAATAAAACAAGGAAATCAAGAAAATGCGATAAAGATAAATAAGCAATGTAATATAGATATACATATTTAGAAAGAAGAGAAAAATATGTGAAAAGGAAAGAAATACACAGAAAAAAAAGACAAGATGGTAGACAACTAAAATAAACTCTTTAGTCAAGAATTGGTAGTTAATGCGAAATAGACGAAAGTCCGAAAGAAGGAAGAAGAAATAAATGGAAATGAAAATCCGAAAATGTTGCCATTGTTTTCTTCGAGTCCATTATTCCTCTGTGCGTCTTGTCAACGTCCTTATTATTATCACAATCGTCACCTTTTTCATCTTTTCACGGGATTAGAGGTTTCTGACGAAAACCCCAGGTTGTAAACTGAAATCTGTCACCTTCCACTGCGAACAGAAAAAAAGTGTCGAATCCCAAGATGGCTGTGTTTTGCGGGGTGCCGCGATGATCATTGGCGCCATCACTGTTGGATTGTGATAGCGCTCTTTATTGCCTGGAGTCAAAGAAATGCTTCTATCTCGGCTAATATCGCTCACCGCACAACGAGCAAAGAAAGAACAATTTCGCAAATCACAAAGAACAAAAAATATGAAAATAATAGAAATTTTAAAAAGAATAATTCAAGTAATA